TTTCGTACGAAACTCCAGTGTCTCAGTGTAAAAAACAACTGGGCAGCTAGTACTCGCACCGCAAAAACTTTCCTAATTAGAAAGAATTTCGGAGAGATGAATGACGTCTTGCAAACGGATTTCCTACGACTTTTCAGGCCCTTTTCTACAGAATTTAGGTCAAGTAATCTAATTGGCTTCCATGGCTCAAATCCATGTTTCGAATGTCCATATTTTCAAGCTACCCATCAATCAACACTACGATTAAACGGAATATAAAAAGCTATAAAGTTAACCTACGAGAAAAGCTCTGCTCTAGAAAACATAGGCTGATGATCGTATAATTTATCCTTCGTTTTAGAAATTCAAAGAATTTCCTGAGAATATATGATAGCCCTCAATATCATGAGAATTCACTATTATAATGGCCTATTTCACTCGCAATTGAGGAGATATATTCAGTTCATTGTTTACAGATAAAAATGCATTGTGAATTTGAGTCTTCATTGACTCAAGGTATGAGTCTGCGGATTTTGTGTGCCACTCTATGCTATCTGCGACCGGTTGAAATGTAAGCTCATGAAAGAAATGTTGAGCGAAATAGAGATTTTAGGTTTTATTTTTAAAAAGCCGTAACATGTTATTTATGTCTTCTTAAACTGAATTTCTAGGTACTTCAAGGAACAATTATGCCAAGAATTGACTGTAACTCAAGAGAATTACCTTATAACTATTACATAATAGAACTGCTTTCATTTCATACTCAGGTAAGGGTTTAAGCAATTTTGGTAGAATAGTAAAAATAAGACGCACCCGTTAAATGGTTTTCTTCTCCCAAAATGTTCAATTTGGAATTTTATAAGAAATATATGATTTTCTATTTGTTAACTTACATTTGGACATCAGTGTGCCAGTCATGAAAATCTGGGTGCAACGAAATTTTGTCCAACACTTTCTAATGCGTGCGCCAATGGTGGAGCCATTAGAGCAAAAAGCTTGAAAAATCACCTTTACATTCGCCAAGATTCGAACTCCTGATCTTCCGACTGGCTAACCGAGCGTGTTTTCCAGTTTCACCAGGAAGGCACGTAATAAGGAGGGAGAAAATTCCTTATATATTAGGCATGTTACCTAAAAACGAAAAGTCATTAAGTTTAAAAATGAGTCTAACTTTTAACGTTTTCAAACCTAGTTAAAAAAAAAATTGTGAATTTTTGGAAATTTTAAATTTATTTTTCTTCCACGATATATGTTATTTCCAAGCTTCAACATTTTACATATATTTTAATTTGAGTTCAATTTCAGATTGCACAGATTTTGAAATTCTCTCAGTAAAAGTGTATATTTTTATAGTCATACAAAAATGTACCTCTAAAACGCAAGAAAAAAAGCAGTTTATCAAACGATTCTTATTAATTAGCTTTGAAGAGGACCTTTCATTTTATTTAACAACACACAACTTGCAGTACTCATAACATAAAAATTGTCAATAAACGCATTTATATTTTATATTTTCAGTTCTTCTGCGCCAAATTTACAACCACATGGCGCATTAAAAAAACTGCGTGTACTAGATGTTTGAAACGTTTTCTTAAGAAAGTTGCCCAGTTTTAAAAATATCTTCAGTTGAAGATTTCTTTTTGTTTCCTTCATGGTCTTACTCCCAAATAAGCCTATTTTTAAAAACTATAAAATGTTTGACAGTCTTAAGTGCAAACTGCAAATAAAAGATATGTGTGAAATTTATTGATTTGGGTTCGAAACGTATTCATATCTAATATTTATTAATAATGAAACTGATATGTACCTCACGTCCGTTGAAATTTGTTCTTCAAAAGCATTCATCATGTTTTCTTTTCTATACATATCATTAAATAGGATTTATTATTTTTATGTATGATATATAATATGGCGGCAAATACAAAACTCATATGCTCCGATATAAATGTTATATTTTTATGATGACCAAAAGCTTATCATTCTGACCACATTTCATTTTTGTGCAATCAAAAATTATACAAGTATATTACTCTTGCTTATTGCTCAATTGCTAGTGTTGAAAATAGCCTTTAATTCAACCACCTCGAAGTAAACCTTCTTGAAATAAAGGCAGCTGCTCAAAATTTAGACTCCACACAAAAGTTTTGTATTCTACCTTTGGGATAACCTGAACGCACGAACAATTCTGAAGATTTTTCAAGAACAAAATCTGAAGTTAATTTTCTGTACAGTTCCATACTATAAAATTCTTCTTTCGATAAAAAAATAATTTCGATATTTTAAACTATTTTAAATTTTTGTGCATAGATTATGAATGAAATGATTTGCTTTCTATTTTTACCCAAGTAATAGCCTAGTGTACAGAATGTATATATAGTACTTACGTTTACCTAGTTGATGTCACCCTTCAGTGTTTAAAACTCTCTCAGCGGAGTACAAAAGAAAATAAAAAACCTTATACACAGCATTTTTAATAACTTATAAATGTTATTGATAAGCAAAGCAAATTAACATTAACATTGATAAACGAAACAATAACAACACTGCTATAAGTATAACAAAACTGTTATAATACTATTGTTAAGCAAAACAAAATATTTGCACATTTGAGTCGCTTGTTTCAACCTTTTTTTAATAAGAGACATACGGTGGGGACGTTGTTAGTAGCATCAGCATTTGTAAACATTTTCCTAATATTCCGTTTTTTGGATATGTAACTCCTAGAGACACTCGCCAAATAGCAACTCCGGCCCATCATTACGCAATCCAAAATTGTTTGTCCTTCTTCAATATTACACATTAAATATTTCAAAGGAAACATCATTACGTGGAGCTTTTTGCTTTTCTATTAGATTTTAGGGCAGCCATCACATTATGATCCTGCAAAGTTGACACTAACTATGCAAATTGCATGTTCTGTATGAAATACTAAATTTCTGGTCCAGTGTTTGTAGATGGATCTATCGTTATTTAAACTTTCAAGTTGAAGGCTTCCGTTTGTGTTTGTGATTATTCTTTCACAAACTGACTAGACTACATCGAATCAATAAAGTTTATATACTCGCCTTATAAGAAGCTGCAGTGTTGCAGTGTATGTAATCACTGCCATATCCTTCCGTAATAACTTCATAAATTTCAGGCTGAAGTTTAATTTTAGCCCATACAAAGCGCACTATATCTTAGTGTTTTCCGTCGTAATTGAGACTAATAGTCACTATATCCTTGACACTTAATCCCAGCATGAACAGCCCCCACCAAAAAAGAATCAGATGAAAGATTTCTATCTAATAATAGAACATTTTCAAACGTCGGAAACATTTTATAGTGTGTGTGTAAGGATTATGTTAATTTTACTAACAGTTAAATTTTGAGTTGAACTTCCTTTCCTATCGCTTCTTAATTTCAACTTACCACTTCCAGCCAGAACGTAGTTTTAGAATCCCGCGTGAATGCAAATTGAGGAAGGGCGTATTTAACCACGAAGTTCTACTGTCTTAGTTAGAGAGACCCAGAGATTTCTTCCTTTCCGATCGCCTTTTTAGGCTACTCCCTCTTAAGCTATTTTTACGCTCGGCCATACTTTAGGCCCTTAATAGCTTTGCAGTCAATTAGCGTTAAGGCGCCAACTCCGTTATATTCTTGATAGCATCGGCTATATCTTTTTAGTTAAGTTTAAATTCTTAATTTCTTTCCAAATTCAAGCCCAAGTGTCGGCTTTATTGTAGAACTCCAAGGTGGAGTTCAATTAAATATTATTTTGAATAATAAAGGGTCTTTTAACCTTTTCCAAGTTTTAATTATTGTCGCACAGACTCAAGCGATTATTCTCTTACTAGTTCTTAAGATTCTTCACATTCAACTGTAACTTAAAGCACACAGTACAGAATCTTTACAAGTGTGATCCAAATCCGCCAATTGCACAGTTATCCAAAATTAGTTAATATGCAAAAAATTATTTCTCTTGAAAATACCATTCAATACAACACATTTAACATAGAACTGCATGAAATAACAATTTTTAAGAATTTTTATTCTGTAAAATTTTGTTTTAAACTAAGCTATTATTTCATGTTTTGATAATGCAGGACCCAGAACCACTCTTCATTGCTCCTATCTTACTCTCCATATTTAGTTAAAAGGGAATAAATAAATTTGCACTTAAAGCTTGAATGGTACCACTGATATTCACCTCTATGATTTCGAAACTATCTAAATTCACGGATGAGGTGTTTTAACGTCCTCAGCAACATGAAAAAAAGCTATGAAAAGGCATATCTCAATGTATCTTACAAAAATCAGAAACTCTTTTCTGATAACCGTTCCAATGTTTATTACGAAGTATTATGTTGTTTTGGGTAATGCGGCGTATGATGAATAATGTCGCAATTGAAAAATTTTCATAATAAAGTTCTTTAAAGAATAAAAAGACCTGTGAGTTTATATATTTCTATGTTAATTTTTTCCTGCTGAAAAGCTAAAAAAATGTAATATTTGTAAATGTTTACTTACTTTTATACCAACAACCTAGATTATGCATATTATGAGTGTTCATGTAAAACACTGATAAAGAATGCATAAAATGTGTTTAAAATGTAATAGAAATATCTTCAAAGCTTTCTACGATGCGTACCATTAACCAGGCCTTAAACCTTCAATAAAACCGTTACCTTCCACGAATTCTGACATTTTTTTTCCTCTCAAATATTAGATAAATTAAACTGATTGGATTACAGTTATATCGAATTTATTATAAATGTAATAAGCATCGCACGTGTTTTCAGAATGTTGCACGATTGCTAATGTTTCTTAAGAAGTTAAAAATTTAATAATTTACTACACATTTTCTCGAGTCTTGGAAACCATTTTAATTTATAAAATACTTACATAAATACACTTTGATACAAAATTCAAATTTATTTCTAAAATAACAACTTGTTATACCCATGCTAAGATTCTGCATATTGATGGGACGGACTCTAGTATCTCTCCTGCAATCTATAATCATATTTCCAATTTTTCAGGTAACAGTAAATTCTACGTCATTCAGCTGCACTACCTGGAAGGCAATAAATGGATTTTCCGAATCTCCAACCAGAGAAAGAGAACTGAATAAAGCAGATTGAATAAATAGAGAAAGTATATAAGAACAAGTGAGGAAATAATTTCATTTGCCACATTGAGACAGAGTTAAATCACATTTCTTCCGGAGGTTTAAAGAAAAGCGGGAAAATTGCTGCTGCCTCACGGTAACTTCATTCTCCGATGCGGAGAAATCAAGACTTTTTTTTTTTTTTTTTTTTTTGTGCGCTGCAATGACGAATACCCAAGCGAAGGACTTTAATCTTATGATTGAAGAAAAGAATGACATGAAATTTGTTTGTTTACAAAAGTTAATACGGTAACCCAAGAAAATGTACTTGAAAACTGAATAAAATATTGGAAGTTTTTATTCTCATTTTTTTATTTCACGCAAGAAACGCATATTCTATTATTGCATAACAGAGAATTTGGATACTATAGTAAATCACTACTTAGAACAAACTTTTTCACCTTTACCTCCTTAATTCAGTATTAAAATGATTCCTTTTTATTTATCTGCCAGAAAAAATATTTATTTTTAAAAATAATTTATCAAGCAAAGCAGTAATAACAATTTTTGAAAAACCAATTTTGGTCAAGAAAACATCTTGCGCAATATGCTGCAAAATAAGTAAAAAATAAAAATTGTAGAAAGCTCGTCTAAAAGTTACCAAGAGCTGCTGCTCCAAAAGGTTTAAGACGTTTTCAAACTTTTAACTTTTTCTGTTTTTTAATTTTATTGTATTTATGTTTTACATGTCTAATGATTTGCTTTTCATGTGTATTAATTTTTGAAAACGTCTTAAACCTTTTGGAGCAGCAACTCTTGGTAACTTTTAGGCGAGCTTTCTACAATTTTTATTTTTAAAAATATAGATAACGCATTTTTTTTTCTTAAAATATTCACTTTAAGGTGAAACTACAGTTTATTTAAAGTTAATACAGCTAAAAATATAAACAAAACTTCTTTTCTTGCGCTTTGCAGGTTCAGCTTATTCTTAGATAAATGTCATAGTAAACGACCTTCCAAAAATGACATCAGTTTGGCAACTTCTAATATGTGTATAAAATCCATGATAGCTATTTTCCAACCAGAGTTTAGAATGAATTTTCATACAGACAACAAATTAGACTTATCCTAAAAAAGTGGGAAATGATCAAAATAAATTAGCGCTTAAACGCTAGTAAATTAATTTAATGAAATAATAAAACACTAGTAAATTAATTTAATGAAGGAAAAAATCTGAAGGATTTCAGATTTCATAACATGCCCAAAGGGGTGTTTTTTTCACCTATGCACACATAGGCGTTTCAAGAGCAAAAGCATTAGCCCAAAAGGGTAAAAATATATAAAAACAGCATATCTTTGGAATTTTGAAAGAAAATCTCAAGCGCTAGATCTAAAAATGATTTATTCCGTACAGTGTTATCATTGCCTGCTTTAAAATCATTGAGGTTTTTAATCAAAAATTCGTTAAAGGTTTACAAAATAGCAAATATATAATAAACCAAATTCCAAACTACGAATTCGGGCTTCCAGGTGGTTATATTTGCTTGGAGGACTATATTCTTTAAAATGTGATGACTCTAGTTATTGTTGTGCTTCATATACATACATTCATGCATATTGTTCATTATTTAGTTCCTTTAAATATAATACAGGGCGATAATATTTATTGGCAACAATTTAAAAGGTGGTTCAATGCTTTTAGTGATTCGACGCAAAATGTCATTTCGAGACTAACAGCCCTTCTGGACTAACGCCCTTTTGAGCTAGTAAACAAAATAGTAACTTAATGCAGAAAGTAATTGCATTATATTTCATGGCAATAGAGATCATCAATACAAATATGGAATCAACATAATATGATCCAGAATAGCGTACAAGTACCAACTAAGGTGATGATATCGTCATCCATTAAACTGGGCTTTCTATAATTATATTTACATTTTTATTTATTATAACTTAATAAGAGAAATAAATACTTCATTACTATTCCTTAGAAATAGCAATGTATCTACCCATCTAACAAATTAGCATACACTGAAAACACTTGAATTCATTTCATTAACATTCTAAACTGATATTTTAGCATAGTTTGTGACTGAATTCATGACTAAGGAGTATCATTAGCTTAGAAAACAAGAGAATGATAAGAACTCAGACAGTACAAACTCGATTAAAAATAAGTAGCTGCAAAAGTTTCTCTGTAAAGTGCAAAGATAGTTTTTAACCATTCACGTTCTAAACTAATATTTCCTCGCCCAATATTCTAGGCAACATTCCTATTCTTCTAGAGACTGTACATTATTTTCTAATTTAATTTAATACTGAACTTATTATAATAACTTTCTTAAAAATCACCTTTATATTTTTTCTTCGGTTATTCTTCTCTACGAAATAGACGAACACTTATTTCCTTTTTTTTTTTTTTCTTTATCATTCTTCCGTAATTTCTTCAATAAGTTCCAGATGTAAAATGGGAATAAATTTATCTTGAAATATTTAGCTTCTGCTTCGACTTGTATATTTATTATTTTGTCTTGAAGTGGTATGTTATGAAATAAATTCTTACCAATAGATTTAAATAACTGCAAAAAGTTGACATCGATTTCATTTTATTAGAATGGAGCTTTAAAGTCACAAAAAGACTGCTGCTACCATCCAGGCATCATTTCTTGAATGCATCGAATCGAAAATTTTCTTTCCTTGGTGGCAATGATGTATTCTGCACTCCAACCTTTAATCTCTTTATTAAAGAGGGATGATTTGCTGTCAACTGCACTCGCGATTCAAATTACTCACAGCTATAAGTAAACAAGAAATTTATTTATACTCTTATACTCTAGAGTAACTTACACCAATAGAGTATATTTCAAAATTGAATAAAGTGCTGAGAGTTTCTTACTCCCATTTATTTCATTTTATTTCGATAAAAACAATTTCCTTGGGAGAAATTTTGAAAACGCTGTAATAAATCGATACTCCCTGCAGAAATTTTATTTTTTATTTCATACGTTTTGTTCCTCCGCGTGTGCTGGCTTTCAGTTTTTATCGTTACTGGTTTTACTCTCCAATTTATTGCAGATAAATAACAATATTTCTTCTACAATAGTTAAAAAGACGAAAAACAATCAGTGTTTTTCACAAAACAGTAAATTGTACTTCATCTGTGATAGTTTACGATTTTAGCCATTTCAGAGTAAGTCGGAGAGAGTTATTCAGAGTGTGATTTAAAATTTTCGCACAACACTGGATTTAATGCTTTAAATAAGAAAATAGATTTCTTGACAAAAACTGCTCCTTTTTTAATTTCTTAGAACTTCCTTCGATGTTCTTCTTTCAAATTTATGAAATTGTAGTCAGAGTCTTCTCTTATCGTGCAATTTATAACGAAAATAAAGAGGGGATATGGCAAAACACGCATTGTCTAAGGAAAAGATACCCTTGCCCAGAATGGTTTAGTAGTTCTAATAAATTATCAGTTTAAACTTTTGATACACACACACACATATATATATAGTGTTTACACATTTTCAATACACAATATGCACACTTTTAGTAGCTTTGCCAGTTACCGAACTGCCAAAGATTACTCAGTGTTGTCAGTTAGTCCCAGTTTTGAGCCCGAGCAAGCAGACTTTCTATATGGTTGGTTTTTGTGGTTTTTGTCTTGCGTAACGGGAAAACGAGCCAGATTCCTTCTTGGAAGAGTGGTTCTCGAGACAGACCTCCACGAAGGCATCCCTCCCTTTAGCAGATAGACGTCGTGTGTTTGCGTACTCAAATAGTCAACCAACCAAGCGAACAAAAATTTTAATAATGCAAGTTGCTCATAAATGTATTCATACCACTGTATTTATTTACAGTAAAATGGTGCCTCGCAAAACGAAGGCAATCCACTCCAAGGCAGTGCTTAATTTCAGGAACGCTCGTTATGAAATTTCCTGCGTGTTACTATGTTGTAATTTTTTCCCAGTTTGAGTTCTTTCCTAATTCAAAGTTCCTAGTTCCAAGAGCAGTTCTAAATCACAGAATATTGTAAAAAAGAATGCTAAAAGTTCTACTAATTGTGGAAACGTTTGGAACTTACTTATTAGTTATTTACAAAAAGTATTTATGATCACCAAGTATGTACCTAGTTGCACAGGTTTTGAGTTAGTATGAAGTATTTCTAGTAACTTTAAATGAAAGTTCAACTTCACCAAAACTTCCTGCATATCTTCGATTTCCTGCATATCTGCCTATGGTCTGGGGGAATTTTCGGTTTCAAGAAAGTATCTGAAGAGGTTAGCTTCTCCCTATGCATCAAAATAGTCTGAAAATTGTGCATGGTGTTATCACTGAGAAGATATACCAATATCTTCACTTTAGCTTGACTGCCTTTGACCTAGATCTTTTCTCATTTCATCATAATGTCTCTTCAACAACAAAAGAATGTTCGCTGCCTTTCAATTGTGATTGTGTGCTAAAGCGCCACATATAGTCACATCTTTATTTGATCTCACAAGTAGCCATGCAGTGGCGTTTATTAAGAATAAGTGGGAAGAATGAACACCAGTTTAAAAACTTTCCCTTCGACATTTTCAGTCAGTTCTTTTCTTGAAATGCTGATATATTTTAAAAGAAGAGCCAATATAAATTACATGATTTGGCAACTGCCAGGCAAAGTCGTGATTAAATTCTTTCGAGACAAAGGTATTGCCCATATTTAGACCACTCTCGAAACCTTTAAGCCTTATTAGTTATAGATATTTTACCATCTACTCGGCGAATGTGGTCACTTTTTTCACCGAAAGAAATTCTGCTCTGATGCTTCGTCGTATCATGCTATATAAAATTTATATCTTAAACATCGTCGATACCCAAACGTTACAAAATTGCTCACCTTATTTGATAGATTATTCGACAAACAGCAAAATGAAACTATATTTGATTACTGCTGGAGAACTAAAATGCCGCTGCAACGAAAGATTTATTCGCGAAGAGAAGTTTATAAAAAGGATACTGTTTCGAAAGTTTAAGCATATTTTTTCAGACAGCTATTCGGTTTATCTATAATATATATCAATTTGGCAAAATTCACTGTCATGAAACTATGAATGAATCGCTTTACTGCTGAATAATTATAATAATGGAATAATTACATGCGTTTTTATCCGTGAATTCCTGTAGTTGTCTTTGACATCGTTATGATTGCCCTTTTTAGGTCCATTTATATTTCATGTGAATATTTACGTTTGTCACCAAGTAGCACCTTATTAATACCAAATGTCCTGTTCAGATCATCTCGTGTTCTTTTTCAAATAAGGCTTGCAATTCCTCAGTAATATCTAATATTGAAAATAGGTTCCTTATCTGCTATTCTT